GGCCCCAGGTCTCTGACATTTACAGAAGCAAGCTCAGACAGCTGGTCTAGCGTGTCGCCTAAGATGGGGCTCTCTTGCTCTTCCCATCAAAGTTGTTCCACTGCCCTGAGGGATGCATACAGGTCACGAGAGAGACGGACTCATTCCTGGTGGTTCAACTGCTCATCTCAGAAACTTCAGGGCTATAGCCCCTGCTTCAATGCAGTGTGTCTGTGGGACTTTGCTACAGAATATTTGGGGGTATATAAGGTGTTGAGGTGTTTCAAGATGAGGTAGCAACTGAAAAGGGTGTAAGTAAGTGGCATGAACATACCAGACTTATGCAGCCTAGTCCACTTACAGTTTGAGCCTTTCTCACATTTCTTTGCTACGCACCATGACAAGCCCATGAAGGAGTTAGCAATTCCTGTGCTGAGGGAGTACTTCCTGCGTTGCACCATGGGCCGGTTAATTGAGGATTTAAAAAAAAATGCTGAACAACATCCGGACCTTCAAGTATATTTAGGTGCCCTGTTCCCATGGGCAAATAGAAGACAAACTGCCAGTATGACAGGAGACAGTATGACATTATGCAATTAAGGCTGTAACAAAATGCATATGCATGTGGGAGGATGAGTTAAGGTTGCCCAGGCAATCTTATTTCTGGCATTTCCTATATTCTCTCCATTTGACTTTGCAACCTACACGTTCACTGATCATAACTTTCTGTTGTAGTACGTAGGCATGACTTGAATTTACATCCTTCTTGCTGAAGAAGTTGTATTAGAAATGTAACGCTTTCAGTATCTTTCCACTTCAGAACAAGGTCAGCTCAAGCCATGCCCAACAAGAGCTTGTGTCATTCTGGCTGACCCCCCTGAGCAGAGCAGGACACGTGCCCCAGGGCCTCCCGCCAGCAGAGCTGCAGGGCCAGGCGCTGCCCGCCCAGAGGTGACAACCCCAGCCTGGAGAGGTGGTAACCGAAATGCTGCCTTCCCTGTCTGTCGTTTCAGGGTGCGACTTCTGCGTGATGACTCCCGCTGAAGCATCTGTAGAGCTTAGACCTGCAGATGCAGAAGGCTCTTCATTTGCTTAGCAGCTGAGAGAAGCAGTACCAGCCCCAGCGCTCTTCTGCCGGTGTAAGTGTCGTCCTACAGTTTTGCCTGGCACAGCGGGACTTGCCAGTGACGTTTTCCTAAGGTAACCCAGGCATTAGCCCCTTGACAAACTGACTCTGTTGTCACACAAGATGAGATTCAGAGAGGCCGGCAATGGCACTTTAACGCCACAGTTTTTAGAGTGCTTAATATAGATCCCGAGGCATCCCTAAAATGGAAAACAAAAATTCTGCTAAGCGTTCTCGTATACATTTTTGAATGAAGCATTAGAGCTTGTATTAATTCAAGAGATTCCATCATCAGGGTTCCCCCCCCCCCCCCCCCTTCTTGGATCGAACTGGCATTCTGCGTGCAGAACAACTGCTTGTATGGTGGGGGTACAACGCAGCACAAAAAAAATACTGGCAGCAGATGGGCAGCCCTGAATGGAAAAGAAAACCCTGAGCTTTCCACTCTTGGATGAGAGTTTGGGAGCGTTACATAAGGAGGAAATGGGAGGGGAAAAAAAAGCAAGCTTAAGAGAAGATAAAATCTGATTAAAATGCAGACTAATATAATTGCAGAACATTACTCAGGCTTTCTTGTGGAGAGAGAAAAATGTCTGCTATTGTGCTGCTATAGAAACCACGTAGAGTCTGTGGGTAGGTGAGGGTGCATGGAGCGTGTCCCTCCCTCCCCCTTCCCTTTCTCTGCCCTGGAATGAAGATCCTATCTTGCTCAGCAAGCTTGGCCTTCGCTGGCCAGGAGATCTCTCCCCGTACAGAGAGAAGCTGTTTTCCTGTTTATGTAGTTTCTTTTAATATCTCTGTTCCCTCCCTCTTTTGTTCAGCTCTTGGAAGGTGATGCAGGGCCATGCCAGGGGAGGGGTAAACTCTGGTCTTCTTGGGCTTTTCAGAGTGGTTGGTCAACTTGGCTCTATACGTTGGGAGCGTGGGACATAGGTACTGTGCCATGAACAGACAGCTTGCTTGTATTTCCTCCTATAAAGCCAAAGAGAGAATTCACGGTGCTTAGGAAAGTAAATGCTTATCTGGAACGAGCAGAAGTTGGCCGTGTTTCTGAACACTGAGTCCACACCACTTGTTTCTCTGAAGACACGCGTTAGCAGTATTAGCAAAGCACTAGATAACAAAGTAAGGCTCCTTCCCTGGCTGCCGATGGAAGTGTCTTTACGGAAGGTGTAAGCTGCGTGCAAGGTTACCCTCTGAACAGTGGCACCAAATAAATGATAGAAATGCTTCCCTTAAGTGTGGAAGTGTGTATTCACACTGGCTCCGACCCGTGACCACCCGGGCTAAGACCTTGTCTCTGACAGCAGTCACTTCTGCATAACTGAGAAGAAGACATAAGAAATTTTGTATTAAAAAGACTGACAGATGGGGAAGCCTGTCCACACTCTGTTAGACTTGTTTCTGGTCCATAATGCTTAAGCAACTGGATCAAAATTTGAGGAGATTAATTTACTGTCGCTTTTGAATTTTATGCAGGCATAAAGTACTGTAAAACTGCATTTTCTCGTATTTTATAAATGTACACTCCTTCTCTGTAGAGTGATAATTTAAATTTTTGTCCCAGTGCCTTCCTACAACAATTGGCTCAGTGGCTCGATTACGTATTTTACAAGAACATATTTTGTATCTCAGTTTTTTTCCAGGAGTTCCACCTTTCAATCTGGCTGATTGTTTTGCTATTGGCGTTCTGGGACAGAGGGAGAAGATCCTATTTTCTGGGTTATTTTAGCATGTTTATCCAGTCTTTAACTAATCATCTCCTTCATAAAACCGGTTTATTGAGGTGTCATCTCATTTTTGTCACCCTTTCCCATTTCCCCTTTTCTACCATACCCCTTTACATGTTGGAGACACCGCTGCTGCACGCAATGCTATATGTTAGGCCTAAATATTTATTTATATAATGGTTTTAGAATATTGTCTACAGGCCTCTAGAAAGGGATCTCTTGGTCATCCGATCTCATTGCCACTGCAGTCAACCACACCATGTAATCCCATCTACAAACTCCTCCAGCTCCATTCAAAAGAAATCAGACTTGATTTTGCTCCAGCCACTCTTGCCAGAGGGCTGTTCTGTTGTTTCGCTACTCGGACTGCAGAGACGAGCCTATACCCACCCGTTCTCATGCTGAAACTGGCCCTTAGTTTTAACTAAACTTTTCCCAAGCCCCACTTCCTTTGTTTTGCCAAACTGAACACACCAAGTGTTTTTATCCCGCTCTGAAATGGGCTGTCCGGTCCCTGATAATCACAGTGGGCTTTGCCCATACTTGTTCCACTATTTACCCCCGACTGGCTGCCAGGATCACGCATCGTACTGCAGGTCTTTTCTGAAATTGTTTATTATTGATGAAACTGGGTTTATGTTTCCCTTTTTACACAGCTCCTACTCGTCTTACTAGTCTTTCTTTTCCAAGTTCTGATCTCATAGTCAATGGAAGAGATTTTAGTGATTAATCTCCATGTGCCATTAGTATTATCAAGTTTAATTATGTTTTCATTAGTCCTGTTCTAAGAGGCATGCAGTTTCGCCGGTATGCTATTCCCACCCCTGTTTGAAATGGTGAGGTCTCCTAGCTCTGCCAACCACAGGCTTCATTAGCACGCTTGTGTTCTCGGTGACACCCCTACGATGAAAATATGAAGGATGACAGGAGCCTTGGTGAATCCCACAGAGCAGCTTTCCTTCAGTCTGATGCTTCCCATATAACACACCCCTCAGTCGTTGCCTCCTGATCCCCATATTCTTCCGCTTAAATGGTCGTTTCCTGTCTGGACAGTATAGGGTGTTATGGACCCCAAACAGATTTCATCTACCACATTTCCTTTCTTTAAGGGAATGGGAAACAAAGTTGTATCAGGGAAAGATACTGAATGCTGAAGCAACATTTCGTGTAATCCCATGCTGGATTTTATCCCATTTATTCCCGTACCTTTAATTATCCTTTCCTTCAAAATTTGTCCAAATTACTGTGAATGATTTCCTTCCCTTTATTTAATGCAGGTATTCCAGAATGGTTTGAGCGCTACAGTAGAACTCCTTGCTCCTTCCACCCTCACCTTCACACACTTGGCCTGCCTGCACTCTGGACGAGACCATTTGTTTTTCCCCACTGCAGTAATTACCCGTGACTTTCTTCCTGTTACTCATCCTCCTTCTGCTCCCACCTTTCACGTAATCATCTTCATTGAAAATGGAGGCGAAATGCTTGTTGGTTTTGGAAATACCGCCAGACTTCCTTCAGCCTGTATGCCCCTCTCACTGCACGACAGCCCTGCTTCTTTTGCCCTGGTTGAAGTAACTGCTTCTGGCTGCTACTATTCTGCATGTCCTCAACTCGAAGACAGACCTGCCTTAGGCGAGCAATCCTCCTCACCGCCGCCTGTAGGTTTTCTATTTCCAGTGACCTTAGTGGCCAAGCTGCCAGGAGATCTTCTGCGAAACCCTTCCCCTTTGCTTGAGGTACGATGTCCAGACCATTTCTGCTGCTCTGGTGTAAAGAAGTCCAGTCTTTCCTTTGTATTCAAGTCCTGAGTCCTTCAGGCTTGTTGATTATTTTTTTCCTAAATTTTTCTATTTATTTTAAACTGCATCTATCAATTTTTTTTCCCCCTGTGACCCTAGTAGCCTTACAATGAACTCACTGCTAACGCAGCTAAACCTCTTGTCGGTCTGGTGGCTGGCAGAGAGTATTTCTCTGTCGTACCCAGCACCGCTCAGCCCCAGGCATCGCTCACAGCGTCTGCTCTCACCCTCTACATCTGGGAAAGCAGCAGCTACTGCGGGAGCAGCAATTTGTTTCATTATATTCCAGGGACCACCTTTTTTTTTTATATGCAAACGTAGCTTTGCAGCTTAGAGAAAGCTCTGCACAAGCGTGCGTTTGCTGCGATGGCGACCGTCTTTGGCCAAGGTCACCATCAGGCTCCCAGCTCTACCCCCGAGTCTTTTAGCGCTTTCTCTGCTGTGGTTTTGAGCCAAACCCTTTGGGTCTATTCCTTCTGTTTGCGCCATGAGCAGCCAGCGTTCTCTGGTGGCCTTTACTACAGCGTCTGTCTTGCCTGGCCACAGGAGAGTGGTTTTACCCTGCTCTGCGACCTCCCTCCTGGCGAGCTTTGTTTCGTGCGTGGGCAGGTTTTGTTCCTCCATTTTGCTGCTCGGGCTCCTTGCTTATGCCAGCAAGGGTTTCGAGTGCTGTACATGGGCCACCACTCCCCACTCCAGGCTGGTATGGTGCCCCATTTCCCACCCACCTCTCGTTTATATTTCTCCTCCCTCGCCACCATCTCCTGCTGGTTTTTTAGCCATTGTCATACCCACATGTTGCTTCATTTC